CCAAAAAGGAAACTATTTACCCTTTAAGCAGTTATGCTTCATTTACTCTTCTTCCCCAAGTCACTGGCAAACACCGGTATGCTTTATGTCTCTATGGATTGATCTACTCTGGACATTTTATGTAAATGAAATCAGACACCATGTGAACTTTTGTGTCTGTCTTCTTCCACTTAGCATGTTTTTAAGGTTCATTCACATTGCAGCATGTATTAGTACTTCATTTCTTTTTATGGCTGAGTAATATTCTATTGTAAGTATATACCACATTTTGTTTATCCATTCACCTGTTGATGGACATTTGGCTCCACCTAATCTTAAACCATAAACCCATGGGTCATCTTTGGTTCTTCCGTTTACTGTATTCCCAACATCTAATCTATCAGCAAGTCTTGTCCATTTTGTTTTTTTTTTTTTTTTTAATTTTTTTTAACGTTTATTTATTTTTGAGACAGAGGCAGACAGAGCATGAACAGGGGAGGGGCAGAGAGAGAGGGAGAAACAGAATCTGAAACAGGCTCCAGGCTCTGAGGAGCCAGCACAGAGCCCGACGTGGGGCTCAAACTCACGGACCGTGAGATCATGACCTGAGCCGAAGTTGGACACTTAACCAACCGAGCCACCCAGGCGCCCCAAGTCTTGTCCATTTTGTAACCAAATATAACTCTAATCCTTCTACTTTCCTCCAATACCATTGCTATTCTGCAGCCAAGACACCAACATCCCTCTCACCTAACTCTTAATTGGTGACAAAATCCTATTCCTCTCCCTCCTCCATTTTTCACCAGGTAGCTACATAAACCAGATCATTCATCAACTCTAGCAATATTTACTGAACACTTTGCATCATGGAGCTTGCATCCTAGAGGCATGACAGACAACAAACAAATATATAGTATAACTTCAAGTCATTACTAGGCTTAAAATCCCTCAATGACCTTTCAATGCACTTCAAATAAAATCCAAGCTCAGCATGGCCTTCCAAGGACCCGTCTACTTCTCCAAACTCATGTCAGGCTGTTCCCCAATCACACTGGGCTCCATTCCTCCACCTCCTGGTCCTTGAACAAGCTGTTCTTTCTGCCTCTTGATCCTGGCATTGTTTAGCATTGCTGGATCCTTCTCATCCCTCAGATCTCAGGATAAATATCACTCCTCAACATGACCTTCCCTGGCCACTCTTGTTAAGCAGATCCACACCTCATTCATTTCACTCATTCAAGAAGTATGTGCTAATCACTGTGCTGGGCTCTTGGGATAAAGCAATATGTGACCTCCTGGAGCCATCAGTCTAATGGGGGGGGGTGGCAAACAACAAGGAAATAAATAAAATGAATGAACAAGTGCTATGAAGGGAGAGTAAAAGGGAGGGGACCTGCCTTACACAAGATGGTCCAAAAGGCCTTGCTGTGGAGATTATACTAAAAGATTCAGTTGGGAAAAGGGCCTATTACTCTCTATCACTTCCTGGCTAGGCAATGGGATGTTCTTTTTTTTTTTGTTTGTTTTCAATATATGAAATTTATTGTCAAATTGGTTTCCATACAACACCCAGTGCTCATCCCAAAAGGTGCCCTCCTCAATACCCATCACCCACCCTCCTCTCCCTCCCACCCCCCATCAACCCTCAGTTTGTTCTCAGTTGTTTTTTTTTTTAATTTTTTTTTTCAACGTTTATTTTATTTTTGGGACAGAGAGAGACAGAGCATGAACGGGGGAGGGGCAGAGAGAGAGGGAGACACAGAATCGGAAACAGGCTCCAGGCTCTGAGCCATCAGCCCAGAGCCCGACGCGGGGCTCGAACTCACGGACCGCGAGATCATGACCTGGCTGAAGTCGGACGCTTACCCGACTGCGCCACCCAGGTGCCCCTGTTCTCAGTTTTTAACAGTCTCTTATGCTTTGGCTCTCTCCCACTCTAACCTCTTTTTTTTTTTTTTCCTTCCCCTCCCCCATGGGTTTCTGTTAAGTTTCTCAGGATCCACATAAGAGTGAAAACATATGGTATCTGTCTTTCTCTGTATGGCTTATTTCACTTAGCATAACACTCTCCAGTTCCATCCACGTTGCTACAAAGGGCCATATTTCATTCTTTCTCATTGCCAAGTAGTATTCCATTGGGTATATAAACCACAATTTCTTTATCCATTCATCAGTTGATGGACATTTAGGCTCTTTCCACAATTTGGCTATTGTTGAGAGCGCTGCTATAAACATTGGGGTACAAGTGCCCCTAGGCATCAGTACTCCTGTATCCCTTGGGTAAATTCCTAGCAGTGCTATTGCTGGGTCATAGGGTAGGTCTATTTTTAATTTTCTGAGGAACCTCCACACTGCTTTCCAGAGTGGCTGCACCAATTTGCATTCCCACCAACAGTGCAAGAGGGTTCAGCAATGGGATGTTCTATCATTCAATGTTTGCTCTTGAAGAATCAAAGCATTTAATGTCTGTCTCTCTCTCTCCCCTAACAGACTGCACTGTATCCCCAGCACCTAGGACAGTGCCCTATCATTTAGGAAGCACTCAATGCACATTGTTGAATTAATAATTGGTAAATAAATTAATTAATTAATCAGACCACCAAAGAAATCACCTCATAGACTATAAAAAATCATATCATTTTGATTGCTGCTTTTGTTGTTATTGCTATTATTTTATGGCAAAAGGACACATACTCTGTTGGGTTTTAGAAAAAAGACTGGGTTGACTGTAAAACAAGAGTTAAAGTACTTGACTCAGAATACCACTAGACAACTAGGAGAGAATGCATATAGATAATAGGCACTCAATAACAGGAAGTGGTAGTCATTGTAGCTATTATTATTAAAGATCCTTTCCTCTAAAGCCTATTTACCCAACTCTAACTCCCAAATCTACTTTCAGATGCAGTCAAGAAGGTTAAAGGCAAAAGAAATGAACACTTTTTAAATACCTGCTCTGCACCAGATTCAGTGCAAACCAGTTTCTGTCAAGTTATCACATTTACTTCCCAAACCCATCCTGCAGAGGTAGCTGCTGTGGGACAGCTCTCAATCCCTCTCCAAGACAGAGGCACCCCTTCCTCCCCTGGGCCCTACTGCCAGTTCCGTTGGCTGAGTCCCTCTTCAGGAACTGTCTTGCTGAAGGGACAACCAAAGTTATGCCCTTCCCTGCATCCACTGGCTGGCCAACATGGGGCTTCCAAGGCCTGGCCCCCAGGCCTCAGGGGATCAACTAAGGCCTCTTTTGCATTGCATCACAGATCTACCTTCCCTCTGCCCAATCCTGTTTTCCTCACCTGTCACCCCCTTGGACAGTGAGACGACTCCCCCCAAGTCCTCCTACACACAAACCTCAGAATCTCTGAGTCTTTTACCAGGGAATTTGATCTTCTAAAGGTAGTTACGATATTTCCTTTTAAATCAGAAAAGTGACATTCAGAAACATTGATTAATGTCCCCAAAGCACACAGCTAAAGTGACTTTCTGGCCTGACTCCCCAGTGACACCTTGCTTTTTATTACAGCCTCTAACAGCCAGGACTGTACCTCTGCAAGGCAGAAAGAGGAGGAGAGAGGTACCATTCCCAATCCTCCAGGGTCCATGCCTGATGACAAGGTTGAGGTCAAAGCCTCCTGAAACAATACAAAAATGACCTGCAGGTTACAGAAGCAGGTATCACAGAGGCAACATTTCCTGGCCCAAATCTTTGTCCAGAGGCCAGGGAGCAGGGCTCCTGGGCAGTTGGGGCTGCTTTCCGGGCCCAGAGCATTTGCAGCCAAGTCCGAATAGCAACTACAACTTACCGGCTCTCTGATACTCCAGTCTCCATCCATTTTCCAGAGAGCTGCCAGTTACCTGGTCACTGATCAGAATTCCTCCACTGCACTCCACCCCAGGACAAAATTCAAGACAGTCAAAGGCTGCATTTTAAGGTCTGCGCATGGTTTAGCCCCCCGCCATGCCGACAGCTCATTTCCTACCCACAGTAAGCCCTGGTCCTTCGTGATTATCTAAGGGGATACTAGACATTTTCAGCTTCCTTACCTCTCTCTGGAATTCCCGCTATCCCAGCAGCCCTCCCCCTTGGCCCCCTCCCCCCAGCTCTCAGCGGGGCAAACCCTCCGCCTCCTCCAGTCCCCACTCAAAGGTCGCCTCCGCTCCAAAGCCGTCCTGGCTGCCTCACGCCTCCTCTACACCTCGTGTCCCCTGTACTACGGTGCTCGGAAACTGTTCCTCCTACTGTCCTTCTTGGCCCCAGGAGCCCCTCCAAGGCCCGTCTTCGTGCCACCAGGGCTCAGCACAGTGCCTGGCACACGGCGGGGGAGCCGATAAATGCTGAATAAACACGGGGCGCGGCATCAAGGCTAGTCCCCGCTGCGAGCTCGGCCAGGGAGCCGCTCGGAGGTTTCTTCCTGCGCCTCAGAAAGACTGGAAAAAGGCAATGGCGTGACAAATCTGACCCCTAGCCCCAGGCCAACAGGTCCTGAGGGGTCTGAAGACCTGGGTCGAGCGCATGTCCGGCCGGGGGCTCCCGGGCCCCCGGCATTTCCCGCGCGCCGACCTGTCCGTCGCAGGGTCGGGCCGGGGCCGGGCTGCGGCAGCCTGTGGAGGGAGAGTGGCGCGGCGGCTCGTCGCCTCCCTCCCGGGCCCTCCGCGCGCCCGCACCCCACGGGCACAGGGCCGGCGCGCCGGGGACGAGGACGCCACCGGCAGCCCCGTCTGAGGGGCCGCGGGCGGGGACGGGGGGGGCTCCCAGCTTCCGGAAACCCCACAAAGTCTACTTCGCGGCGGCGCTCCCCTTACCGTGCGAGCCGCCAGGAAACCCGCGCCAGGGGAGTGCCTCGGCCGCGGCGCCCGCCTGCGGATACGCTCCGGGTCCGCGAGCTCAGCCTCCGCACCCGGCCGCGCTCCAGCGTCTCCCCTCCGCCGCCCGGCCTCCCCGCCGCGCCGCACCACCCCATTGGCTCGGACGGCCAGGCCCCGCCCCCTGGGGCCCCGCCCCGCGCCTCCCACCACGGCGCCCCTCACGTCTCCACGCGGGAAAGTTGCTTCCTGACTCTGAGCTCTCCCCCGGCTCGGGCAGCCGAGTGCAGTGATCATTCCCGATCCCTAAAGCGTCTCTACGCCCCTTGGGGAGTGCGAAGAGTGCAGCGTCCTTGGAAGCCAGCTTTGAGCAAGGCACCTGACCTTCCAGGACTTCAGGAGGCGCCTCAGAGAAACCCTGCCTCACTGTCTGCTCGCGTCTCAGGTACTGTGCCGGTCACTCGGAGCGGGGGGTGCAACAGGAACCAGACAAAGTCTGTCGCCCTCCTGTAGTTTGCGTGGAGTCGGGATGGGGGCAGGTTAATGAAGGTACACGAAGAAGGTATGTCAGATTGTTATGGGAGGGAGAGGTGATTTTAAATAAGAAAGGGGCCTTGGGACGTTGTAAATAGGAGGGTTTCTTGCGGCCACTTGGGGAGGTGATAGTTGAACAGAGTTGAAAGAGAAAAGGGATTCCAGGACTGGAAGGAGAGCATCGCCGGCAGGGGGCAGTAGATGCACCGTGATTCTGAGGCCACAAGTGGAGACTAGGATAGCCCAGAGTGCTGAGCAAGGAAGAGGTGCGCTAGGCTGGAGAGAGTGCGTGGGGCCGATTTCACCCCCCCCCGGACGGGGGGGGGGGGGGGGCCCCCCCCGCAGCCTGAATAGCTTCGGTTCGTTATAAGGACAAAACAAAAATAAGCCATCGAAGGGAGGCTACGACATGTTTAAAAGACCACTGTTGCTTGTGTGGAGAATAGATTTTGGAAGAGAGAATGAAATAGCAGCGAGACCAGTTAGGAGGTGTCTTGTCGGCTCACGCTGCTATAACCAAATACCATAGACTGGTTGGCTTAAACAATAGACATTTATTTTCTCATAATTCTGGACGTGAAGGTCAAGGTGCCAGCGTGGCCTGCTTCTGGTGGGAGCTCTCTTCCTGGCTTGTAGATGACTGCCTTCTCCCCGTGTCCTCATAAGGCAGGGAGAAAGAGAGCAAGTTCTCTCCTGTCTCTTCTTAGAAGGACACGAGCCCCATCATGAGGTCCCCACCTGCAGGACTTCACCTAAATCACCAAAGGCTCTGTCTCCAAATACCATCTTGTCGTGGGTTAGGGCTTCAACATATGGGGGGGGGGGGGTGGAAATGCATAGTTCAGTGTGTAACTTGAGTCTACTGCAGGAGTCCAGGCAAGAGATGATGGTGACTTAGACCAAGGTGGTGACAGTGGAGATAGGGAGAGTGGACCAACTGAAATACATTTTTAGAATATCATGGAAAGCCTTGGTGATGAGTTGGTTTTAAGAGATGTGGAAAACAGATGAATAAAGAATGACTCCCAGGTGCTCACCTTGAGCCAACCTTGAGATAATGGTGCCCTTACCAACATGGGGAAAGACTAGGAAGGGACAGGTTGGAAGCAGAATGGAAATAAAGGCTCCACCATGGACATTTGAGAAACCCATTAGGCAAGCTACAACAACTGTACCAGGTTCTCTTCAAATTGTTTTACATATATTAACCAATTGTATACATAATTCTTATAGTAACTGTGTGGTGGAAAAGGACTCTCATTGTCCCTGTATCACAGTGGAGGAAATGAAGGCACTAAAAGATTGAGCAACTTGCCCAAAGTGAAGGCTGGTTACCCAAGTAGAAAGCACAGATGTGAGCCTGGGGCTGGAGATATGCACTGGGGAGTGTTCTGACCTGGGACCATATGAGACCACCTAATGTGAGAAGAAAGCGGAGCCAAGGACTGAGAGCCCTTGGAAGTTTGTCTTCCAACTGCTCTGCTTACTGCATGGCCCTTAGTAAGTGACTTCGGTCAATAAGAGGGAGTAACCCGACTTCAGTAACCAAGGGAGGAAAACTGGCTCAGGAGTCACAAACTTTAATACTGTTGGAGACGGGCAATAATGTAATAAGTGAAGTTGGCAGGGTGTGATAGAACAGGGCGGGGTAGAGACTGTGGTGCACTGAGGTGTGTGTAGACCTGCCTAAGGGGGCAGGCTGTTACTTAACAACTCATGTTTGCCGTATAGCAGTAGGGACCCTGAGTTGCCAGATGATCTGATTTTCATTAAATTTTCATTAAGAAAAATTCAGATTATGTTACATCTCCAAGTGTTTAAATGTTGGTGATTAATTTAAAAAAAAATGTAAAGGACTGTGTGAACCAAGATTGTTGAGCAAAATCAAACCCATGCATAGACAGGATTTGCCCCTTTGGCTACTACTTTCCACCTCTGGATCAGGCAGTACCTCAGATCCTTCCTGAGTTTCTATTCAGACATGGATAATGACAGTAGTGGACATAAGAAGATAAAGAAGATCAAGGAAATCTCAGCTCATAAACCCTGCATGGATTTTTGCTCCATCGCTGCCTCTACCCATCCTGGAATATCCTTTCTAAGCTTCCATCTCCCCTACCTGTGAAATGAGGTCAGAGAACAGCTCTGACTTCTCTCAACTCTAAGATTTGGACTTATATGTAGTTTTTTTTTGTTGTTGTTTTTTTAAGAATATTGGCCTTCAAATGTGCACAGGAGAGTTGCTTGGAGAAAAATGGAAAGGATGTTCTTGTCTAGGCCTATAAATTCAAAAACCTTCACTAGTATCAGTTTTAAACAAAGAAAGAAAAGAGGAAATGGTTAGTGGGATAAAAGTGTAGATGAGAAACCAGGCAAATTATGGCATGGAAAATTATTTTTTATTGCACTGTGAATAAGGGGGATAAAAGGCAGTTAGATGCAGAAGTGCTTAGTGGTTTCTATTGAAAATTCAATGTATCATAGCCAGTTCTCTATATTTATCATCAAGGGTTTAGCAGTAATGAGATTCTCCCGTCATGTATTGGAGGTCAGCTGCATTCCAGAATTATTTATTCTTATGTGCTGAGCTTATGCAATGAAAAGAGCCTGGAAACAGATAATGACTCTCCATAGTCAGTCCCTTTTGTCCCCGCCCTGAGATAGTGTTTAAAGCTGGAGAAACAGCTCACGACTTTATAAATTTCTGACTTTTATGTGAGAGTGAATGTGGGGTTGGAAGTCAGAAGACTTGACACCTGGTCATGGGATAACCTCTCTGAACCTCCTTCATCCATGAAATGAGAGCTGGACCAAAGATGGCTTCCTAGAAGATATTTGTATTTATGCCTCCACATTTCTTTGGGGGGAGTTTTTCACGGTGGGGAGACCTGGAAATTCCCAGGGCCAGATCCTTCAACAACTTGCTAACTCCTAGTCCCCAAAAATACTTGAGGGAGGGATGTCACCTGAGTTGGGCCAGTTAGATCTTCACTCCTGGGACTTTGTCTCTCCAGAAAGTGATAAGGATGGAGAGAGATTGACCACGAGATTGATCAGACTAATGATGACAGCAGTAGCAGCAGCAGCAGCAGCAGCAGCCTAAGGAGGCTGGACCAGTGATTCCTGTTTAGTCCTGAATCTTGTTGGCACACCTCTAGATTCCTTTGATTTCTGCCCATTTCGCAAACTTGATCCTTCATGCCATCCCTGTCCCCCATCTAATTTTATTTTGTGAATCGTCCATCTCTGCTAAATTCCCTTCTTGTGTTAAATAGCCTACATTATTTCTCTTGCTTTTAACCAAGAATCCTCCCAATGGGTCCAGGAAGGAAAGAAATATATTGTCATAGGATCTTTTCCCTGGGGAACAATTCAGCTCAGGAATTTGCGTGCATATGGATGCACCCACAGTGACAGGTGTACACATTGTCTTACAACTCAGTAAGAAATCCAAACCCACAGAGTGGTGGTGGTGGAGGCTAAAAAATATATTTATTTTTGATAAGAAGAACTCAGATCTGCTATTCTTATCTAAAAAAAGATGAGCAAGTTCTTATAATAACAAAACAACTGTAGCAATAAGTCTTTTTATGTAAATTCTATAGTTTGCAAAGTCCCTCATTTCATATACCCTCCTGTGAGGTAGGCAGATTAGATAGTATTCATGGATTAGAGTAATAGTAGCTATCATTTATTGAATACTTTTTGTGACCAGGCACTGTGCTAAATGCTTTTCATACCCACGGGCCTACACTGTTAAAGAGATGTTATTCCCGGGGCGCCTGGTTGGCTCAGTTGGTTAAGCCACTGACTTCAGCTCAGGTCATGATCTTGCACTCTCTGAGTTCAAGCCCCACATCCGGCTCTGTGCTGACAGCTTGGAGCCTGGAGCCTGCTTCAGATTCTGTGTCTCCTCCTCTCTCTGCCCCTCTGCCTCTCGTGCTGTCTCTCTGTCTCTCACAAAAATAAATAAATATTTAAAAAAAATTTTTTTTAAAAGAGATGTTATTCCCATTTCATAGGGAAAGAAACAGACTTGTACAAAGTCACTTAGATGATACATAGTTGAAGTGGGAACTCAAAATTCTGTCTGACAACGAAAGCCATATTTGCTTTTAACACGCACAGCTTCGTGTCACATAACACAGCTGGTGAATGACAGAGCTGCCGTGGGAACCTAGGTCCTGAGTCAGGAAAGTTTCACAGTTGCCAACAAGGGCAAAGTTAATTTTGTTATCCATCCATGGCAAGAGTTTTAAGCTCACAAGAAATATCTTGCAATATTTCCTCCTCTCTACCTACCAAGGAGCCTAAAATCTGCACAAAGATGAATTGCTATAATTAAAGATTGATTAGGGGGTACAAGGGCAAATTAGCCTGCAAGGGTTAAGACACAAAGTCTTAACATGTGCAAGAATAAAAGGTCTCTGGAATCTATCCAAAAAGGGTTGATGTAGTAATCATTTCACTATGTATATGCAAATAATCGTGTTCTATGCCTTAGATACAATTTTTATTTTTAAATAAATTAATTAAAAAGCATTAAAAAATAAATTTGACTTATAAGAAATTTTAAAAAAGTAAAAGTGAGAGAACTTTTTTGTTTCATAAATTTCATCTTTGGATTAAAAAACATCTTAGAAAGATGAGGAGGTGGGGTATAGAATAAAAGAAAAGCTGAAAATATTAATCTACTTCCTGACATGAGGCAATTCAGTTCATCTCTGAGCCCTACCTAGTAAAATGAGGGGAGTGCTTAGAATGCTGTAACATCTACAGTTCTTTTCTAGAATCCATAGGTAAATGCTCAGAAGGGGCATGGCATGATCTGGAGCTGAGGTGGATTCTGAGCTAAAGATTTTGAGTGGTTTTATGGTTGCTTGTTTGTAGCACAGAACATTTTTGCTGACG